AACTGACTATCGAAAGCGGTCTTCTGACATCCGCAGTGCACCGTGGCACGGGCATATCTCACCATACACAAAATAAATAACAAGTAAATATTAATGTTAAAAGTCAATCAATATATTTCAACTCATAACAATTTCAAGATCCACTCACTAAAAGAACCTTTGAGCTAACAGAGAACAGCCAGAAACTATTAAGCTTACAAAGGGAATTTTTTTGGCAGGGGAGGGGGAGTGGGGATTTTGAGACTGGGTTTCTCTGTGGCTTTGGAGGCTGTCCTGGAACTAGTTCTTGTAGACCAGGCTGGTCCTGAACTCACAGAAATCCGCCTGTCTCTACCTCCCAAGTGCTGGGATTAAAGGAAAACGAATATAGAGAGTACATTAACCAGTTTATTACTGGGCTGGAGAGATGAGAGACAGAGACAGAGACAGAGAGAGAGAGACAGAGAGAGACACAGAGAGAGACACAGAAAGACACACACACACACACACACACAGAGAGAGAGAGAGAGAGAGAGAGAGAGAGAGAGAGAGAGAGAGAGGGAAGTTAGAGACAGAGAGTGAGAGAGCAAAGAGAGAGAGGAAGGCAAGAGAGACAATAAGAGAAGAGAATTAATGGTCGACCACCGGAAACAGAGAGCGTGAAGGGGTGAGCCTGGTAACATAACCAGGCAACACATGGCCTAGGTATCTGCCTGAACCTTTCAGCCACCATCTAGCTACAAAGGGTATATTTAAAGATGAGTTAGGGTTACCATGGTTCCGTGGACAAAGTGTTTGTTGTACAAGTGTGAGGATCTGAGTTTAAATACCCAGCACCTGTGTAAAAAGCCAGTTCTGTAGCATGATGCTGAAATCCTAGTGCTGAGGAGGAGGAGAATGGAAGATCCCTAGGGCATACTGGCCAGCCAATACAGCTCAATCAGTGAGCTCTGGGTTCAAGAGACCTCAACAAACAAGACTGACAGTGATTTAAAAACACTGACATTGATCTCTGGCTTCCATATACAGATACATGTACACAGGAACATGCACACACACACAAATAACTAGAGGTAAATAAAAATCCCAGCACTGGAAAAGCAAAGGCAGGTGGATCTCTCTGAGTTCGTGGCCAGGCTGGTTTGCACAATTGAGTTATAGGTCAGTCAGAACTGCATAGGGAGGTTGTATCAAAGAAGAAAACAAAAACAACAAAAAAGTGTCCTTCATAATATCAAACACAATAAACTTCTAAACAAATAAAACACTATGCTGTAAACTACAAGTGATAAAAGAAAAAGAACCAAGTAAAAGGAATCCAAATTTAACTCAGATTGTGACATTAAGCCTCACCCCATTAAGGAGACATTATCTAATTTATTTCCCCTGAGTTCCAAAAATGTCTTGTGATGCCAGGTAAGTATTCTTTATTTACATATTACAGAACAAGTTGGAGTTACTGAGTTTATATGGAAATTAAGTGATAAAAAATGCTAAATATCAGCCATACCTCTGGAGAAATGGACACTAACATTTATGCAAAACCCATATGTGAATGTTTATGATAATTCCATCCATAAGCACCAAAAGCTAGAAGTAGCTCAAATAGCCTTCAATGGGAAAGTGTACAAACCACAGTATATCCTTGGCATGGAGTACTAGTCAGCAATTATTAAAAAAAAGAGAAAAAAGTCAGGTGGTGGTGGCGCACACCTTTAATCCCAGCACTCAGGAGGCAGAGGCAGAGGCAGGCAGATCGAAGCCAGCCTGGTCTACAAGAGCTATTTCCATGACAGGATCCACAGCTACACAGAGAACCCTGTCTTGAAAAAGCAAAACCAAAACAAAACCAAAAAACCAACAAAACCCTCTAATATGTACAATGAGTCTCACAAGAGTTAATATGAAGAATAGAAGGTGCCATTTTCAAAAAGTTATATATGTTATGTCTCTCTCTGTATAATATTCTCAAAGACAAAAGGATAATTGACATACTAGTCAGTTACCAAGGTTACATACTGAAAGGATACCTGCTAAGGGTTAGAATGTGGAAGATACTGAAGGTAGTAACCTGTTCCATATCCTGATTGTGAGGATGTTAGATGAATCTCTAAGATATCAAAATGTGAAATGTGCACCAATTTATAGCATTTGGATTTGAAAAGTTGTGCTGTGTGAGTGCTGTGTGCATTACATGTACCTTAGTGTGCCAGTATACATGCCTGTGCACACACAAGTGAAAGTCAAAGCTATTTTCCTTATACTCTCCACCTTATTACCTTGAGACACCATCTCTGAGTTGGAAACTTGCCTACTGGCTAGGCTGCCTGACCATCCATCATCCATCCCTCAGAGCTGCCTGTCTGCTCCTGAAATGCTGGGGTTGACAGGTATACACTACCATGCCTGGCTCACATACAGTCATGCCTGGTTTATATACAGTCACGCCTAGCTTTTTATGTAGGTGCTGGGGATTCAAACTCAGACCCTCATGTTTGCTGAACAAATGTTGTAAAACAGTAAACCATTTCCTTAGTCCTTGAAAACAAAAAGTCAAAACAATGTATTAGCAGTAAAATGAGCATTAAAGGAAATACTGAGCTATGATTAAAATGAAGAAACAACTGAACTCTCCAGCATTACTGGTGGGGATATACAATGATATCATTACTTTTTATTTGCTTGTTTTTGTTTTTCCAGAGAGGGTTTCTGTGTATCCCTGGCTGTTCTGGAACTCACTCTGTAGACCACGAGGGCCTCGAACCCTGCCGCCAGAGTGCTGGGATTAAAGGTGTGTGCCACCCGGGTCACTTGGTTTCTTATAAAGTGAAACATACATCTACTGGTTGGTCCTATCATTCTCCTTGTAGACCTTTTAAAAAGACAACTGAAAGCATTATATCTATACAGAGCCTTATCTACATGGATGTTAATAATTAATTTGTGACAACCTTGAACTGGGAATAATCCAATGATCTGTGAACAGGTGAATGCATAAACAAACTACATCATATTCCACACATTCGAACATTAGCATAGGGTTAAAATTTTGGTACACAGGAGGGTGAATTTACAAATAATTATCCTAACTGAAGAACCCAGAATTAAATAATATTAAGAGTTGCTATATGTTTTCACTTATAAACATGTAGAAAACGCAGAACAAGATGGGCATTGGTGGCGAAGGCCTTTAATCCCTTTAATCCCAGGCAGAGACAGGCAGATCTCTGTGAGTTCGAGGACAGCCCGGTCTACAGAGTGAGTTCCAGGACAGCCTCTAAAACAATCCCAGCACTGGGTAGGCAGAGGCAGGTGGATCTCTGTGATCTGGTCTACAAGAGCTAGTTCTAGGACAGCCTCCAAAGAAAAAAAAAAACCCGGTCTTGAAAAAACAAAAAAAAAAAAAAAAAAAAAGAAAAGAAAAAAAAGGAAATGCAGAACAGTCAATCCATCATGACAGAAATAAAATCAGCGGTTGTCTGGCTGATTTGCAGAGGCAGCATATTTAATTGCTCAATGGGGAAAAAAAAAAAAGACCAAGGTAGTATACAGAAAAGGGCTAGGTAGGATCTGGAGAGATGGCTCAGAGGTTAAGAGTAATTGCTCCTCTTACAAGACCCAGGTTCAAATCCCATCTCTCATATGGTGGCTAAACAACCATCATTAACTCTTTCCAGAAAACGTCCTCTTCTAACCTCTATGGCATGTAGAGTGCATACATAAATGAAGGCAGCATGCATAAAATTAAAAAAAAAATAAGAAGCTAAGGAAAACAATTTTATATAAACATTTAACAAAATTAGTAGGTGTGAGAAATGAATGAAACACGGTGTTGAATGGGTCTTCAAGTGTCCCAGCAATGACACTATTACTGTCTCTTTCATGTAAGACCACTGAGACAAGGTGACAATAAATGACTTGTCCCTCAGCTACCTCAGTCAGAGCTGTGGTTCTAGCCCAACTCCTTTCTTCTTCCAAACATCTGAGACTCTATACTGGAGCAATAGAGAAAATTAGAAGACATTGTGAAAGCCGCTATGTAACATGCTGTCAAAAAACAAAAGCAAACAAAAAAATGGAACAATTCTTTTTTGCTTGTTTTGTTTTTCGAGACAGGATTTCTTGAACTCACTTTGTACACCAGGCTGGCCTCGAACTTAGGGATATGCCTGTCACACCCTCAGGAGTGCCAAGATTAAAGGCGTGCGACCACTGCCGGCTAAAACAGAGCACTGTTAACTCCCTAAACAACACGCTCCACTTCTTGAAAACATCTTTAGAGATACGATTCTGAGATCAACCTGCACAGGGTTTGGGGGCTCAGACTCCTTAGAAAGGAAACGGGAACTGCTAATTAGAAAAGATCGGTGTGTCTGGATCCTTGGCCCTTGCAAGGATGGCGACAATAAGGGCGAGTGCCCCAGCCACAGCACCACTGGAAAAGGTAAACTCTGATGACAGCCGAGCACTGATCACGCTGACGCAAAGCTTTTCCCAAAGCTCCCCAAACAACTCTGGCAGATCTTGGAGGACTCGGTCCAGGCAACTACCAAGCCCTGGGAACGTAGGACACCCCAGGCTCGGCCCCAGAGCCACCCGCCCGGGACGCGCAGTGACCCGCAGCCGCTCGTCGCTCTCACCTCTCCAGTTCTTGTACTTGGGGATGTAGTAGTATTTATTCCCCAGATGGTCCGTGCCCACGTGCTCCCTCACCTCCTTCGACAGAACGCTCCACACGGAGCGCAGCACACTCCACCACCAGCCCATGCCGTGGCGCAGCTCAAGGTCTCTAGACTGGCGCCGGCCGGGAGGCCCCGCCCACACGAGGGCCCGCCCACCGCGCAGGCTCGCGTTCTCGCACCTCCCAGTAACGCCGCTCTCCGTTGGTCACGTCATATCACGGATTGGCCAATGAAAGACTCTGTTGTTACAGCCCGGTCCAAGTTGTGTCATGGCGGCACCCAGGCCTCCAGCTGGTGTGTGGGACCGAGATGTTGAGTTTTTTGTCCGCTCGACAATCGGGTTTGGAAGACCCTCTTCGCTTGCGGAGAGCGCAGTCCACACGGAGGTAAGGCTCGCCTTGTCTTTCCCCGTAACGTGCCAAGTGAGACTCTGGTGCTGGGAGTCCGGGTGACTGGACCATTGGTCGAAGATGAAGTCGGCAGGTGACAGGAAGACACGCGAGTGCGCGTAGAGCAAAATATGAAGGTTAAACCCAGACCACGGTTATTGTAGCTTGCGGTCTGCTTGAAGAATGAAGTTGAAAGTAGAAGTGAGTCGAGTTAGGTAACTGTCGCTCCAAGAACGAATGGGCATTCAGGGAGTGAGGTTGTCTTCATTTTTACGTTTTGGTGTTCTATAGTTAGAATAATACGTTCCAAAAATTACATAAATTTTTTTTGTTTTGGTTTGGTTTTTCGAGACAGGGTTACTATGTAGCTTGGAGGCTGTCCTGGAACTCGCTCTGTAGAATAGCTGGCCTCGAACTCAGAGATCCTGCCTCTGCCTCCGGAGTGCTGGGATTAACTAAATGAGTTAACATTCAACCATTTTTTAGAACCACATTTTGATTAGTTCTAAACATGATCAGGGTTGTTTGTGTCAGCTGCTGATCAATTCGTGCAGAAATGATTAAGTTTTTTTAAGGCACTTCTGCATTCTTGGAGACATACACAGAAGTTTTTCACTCCGGGACAGCAAGAATGAATGAATGAATGAATGAATGAATGAATGTATGTATGTATGTATGTATGTATGTATGTATGTATGTATCCATCTTTCTGGTAATGTGACTGGTTCTCCAAGTAGTTCTGAGTTTCTTCCTTATGTTCAGCAAAGGTAACACTGGGAAATGAATGAACTGCTTGCTTCACTTTTAATTTCATCTAAAAACTTTTAAAAAGCAACATTGCTCTTTTTATCCTTGTAGTTAATGGTTAATCTTATAATAATTTAAGTAAGGAAGCCACAGAGGATCTGAAAAATTGGGATTTTAAGTCTAGATTTCCAAATGTCCTTGGTCCGAGGAAGCCCAAAGGTCTTTGTCAACATTCTATGACCCAAATTTTTGTTTCACTAGAAAAAATAAGAGTTCAAAACAAATAAGAGGTTCCCCCAGATTAGTCTGCCTATAAATGGATTTCATTTCTCTGTGCAGTGTTATTCTCAAAGCATAATAAAAGCTGAAAACTTTATTTCAGTGGCCCCAAACACTTTTCCCCACCAGTTGTCTTTTGTGCTTATAATAAAATGGTAGTGGCTATGCTGGGATTGAGACCACCGATGTGGCACAAGCCTTTACTGCTTTATGTTCAACCCTGGAGGAGCCAAGTCTTAGACTGTGGGCCAGTAACAGAAAGGTCCCTAAGCAGGGGAAGACAGTTCAAGGCCTTCTAAAGTATCACTGGACACTGAGAAGTGGTTCTGGGCAGATGTCCTACCTTGTGCACATAGTCCTTGTAGATGATGGTCTGAGTTGACAGCAACCATGTTAGCATTTGTAGCCATCCGGGAAGTTATGCGTCCTGGCGGTAAACTCATTGAGAAAATGGATTTGGATCAATTGGAACTGAATCCCAATTCAGCTTCAGTTTAGAAAGTTGACTGAACTGGGCATAGTGACTCACACCTTTAATTCAGGAGGCAGAAGAGGTGGATCTCTGTCTGAGGCCAGCCTGATCTACATAGAGTTCCAGGCCAGCCAGCATTACATAGTGAGACCCTGTTTAAACATGAAATCCAACAGAACAGCAACAAAGAAAGGCATACTCAGGTCAATGAAGGAGGTTCTGTGCCTCTCCCAATCAGATTTGTTCAGAGACTCACCCACCTGCCCACCCACTGTGTGCAGCACGTGCTGCAAGCAACCAAATCCTCATAATACTCCACCTCTTCCAGCAGAGGAAGAGCTTTGCTAAGTAGCAGCAGCACACAAGCCTGGCCCACCCCATCCTGGATTGCCTGTGGAAGGGATGGAGAAGATAAATGCACAACTGAATCTTGGAGTTCATACCTTATGGGAACATTTCATTGAAGTGTGCGAGTAAGACTGTTACCATTCTGCTATCAAGGGGCATGGCCTGTCTGGTGGTGGTTGGCACAATGGCAGTCCCCTTCTGTTGTGAGTTTGATATATAGGCCTCCGGGTGCCCACAATTACTGGGAGCCATGTTTGACAGATTGGGTGCTATTTTCTGTGGGCCTTTGCTGTGCATCAACATTGCCTGAGACAAGCCCTCAGCATCACCTTGACCAAGCATCACCCAGAGAGTGATGATCAACTAGGTCTGAGGAGGACACTACCCTGAGCTTGCCCCGAGACCCAGCCCTCAAACCCTACCTACCTGCCTCTCCTGCTGCTGCACTTTCATTGAGGAAGGCTTTAGAGGGACCAGGGACTGAGTCCTACTAACACTGTGGCACTAATAGATTAGCCTGCCCAGGCCCAAAAAACACTGATTCTAATGGGGCCTTCCTAGCTGTCACTCCTGTGGCGCCCCCCCCCAGATGTTCAGCCAAGCATGTTTTCTTCTCTCCATGGAGTTTACTACACCAACCTAATGGGTCATTGCTCCACACACACTGGCCCCCAGAGGTTGGATGACTCTCTAGGGGTTAGTAGATACCTGAAAGTATCTCCACAGTGACTCACTGGGAGCTCAGGATGACAAGAAACAGCTCTTATACCAGCCTTTGCTTTCTGCCTAGGACTGGGTCAATAACTTGCCTGGTATGGCTTCTTTTGCAGGATGGACCTGACTTCTCCCCAGTAATATGCTCCAACCCCTCTGCAGTAATGCCCTTCTCTTGCTGCTCAGGCCACATGAGCTGCATCGAGGTGCTCTCCTACCACATGACATATATGCTAACATAACATACTCATTCATGTAAAATAAAATAAATCTAAAAATATTTAGAAGAAAAATAATGAGCCTACTAATTGTTCCACAGCCTTTTGGTTCCCCTTTACTGTTTTCATTTGGTGTATCTGAACATAATTCAGCACTCCCTTTTAAAAAATCTGCCATTATTTTGACACTTTATGTATTACATATATAGAGAATGGAGATATCTGTATAATTTCCTCATTATTTCAGTTTGGCTCCTCTTGATTGTCCTTTCCCATGGAAGTTGTCTGTATAATTTCCTCATTATTTCAGTTTGGCTCCTCTTGATTGTCCTTTCACTTTGTAGTTGGAATTCCCATGATTCTTCATATGCAGAATAAATAATTTTGAATTGCTTCCTAAATATTTTGATCAATTACTGGGCTCATGGTCCTTCTTTATGAGGAATGTTGATATTTTTGTTTCAGTAGTAACCTGTCAGATTAGATATGGGCTGTGGTTCCTACCTCTCTCTGTAAGCTATGGTTTCAAAACCTTTTAGGTCTTCCCAGGCGCGTGCATCACTGGTCAGGCAGTGACCTAAGTGGCACTTGGTTGAATCTTGAAAAGTCTTTTGCCGGGTATTCAGGATTGGATCCATGCATGCTCCACTCTAGGATGAGCCCTGGAGTTTGTAAACTGTTTTGGGGGTGTCCTTCTTGATCTCCATCTTTGCTATGATTGCCCAATTTTCTGGAGCTCCCATCTTGGTTCTTCAGCCAGCAAATTTGACCTCTGGTTACTGTCATAGCACACATTTCATGTTTGGACCCAAGGCAGAGTTCAGAAGAATAAAGACAGATTAAAGAAGATAATCAAGGCACTAGTGAGACAAAGAAAAGAATACACTTCCTTTAAACTGATGCATTTTAGTTTGCTTTTCTACAGTCTTAGAGAAACGAGAATCTTTTCAATTGTGCAATTCAAAAGTTTATCCACTGGGTGTCCTCAGTCAAATTTATCAGAATTTAACTTTCCTTGAAAGTTTATCCATAGATACTTTTTTAAGGACTTTAACTCATTAAATGAAATTTAAAGTAATGTTTCAGCAAAATATTTGCATGTAATGGTTTGCATGTGATATTTGTATGGTAACTTGTTTTAGAGGCTTACAATTTACAAATCTGAACACCTTTAAATATGGTAAGAAGACTTGCAATATTTGTGATACTCTATGTAATCTTAGGGAAATAAGGAATTTGCTTATGTTAAAGTTTTCTTATTGTTAAGTTTTCTCTTTTTAATTTTTGAAGGGTCCTGGCACTGGAGTTAAACAAAGACAGAGATGTTGAAAGAATCCATGGCAGTGGAGTTAACACTCTTGACATTGAGCCTGTTGAAGGAAGATAGTAAGTTGTATCTTCACTTTTCATCTAAATGAGATGCAGTAAAATCTTATGTTTAAAAAATTTGTAAATTGTAGCATTTGTTAAACTGGCATTTATTTACTTGAAATAAGAACGAAAAATCAAATATGCAAAATGTTGCTAGATTGATCAATACTCCAAACTACTGTACATAAATATATTCATGTTAAATCAATAAACCAGGGATTTATGTTGATACAGGAAGCTTCTAAGTGCTGGGATGTGTCTTAGGAGCTCTTTTAAATATAGTTGTTATTTTCAGGAAGTTTAATGGAAACTAAAATACTAAAAGCAGAAATGTGTTTGGCAAATTAAGTTTGAAGCAACAATTTTACTGAGTTTCTTCCTTACCAGCTCTGTGACCTTGTGCAATTTACCTAACCTTTCAAATTTTAGTTGCCATAGCTATTCAATGGGAATGGTTGTGCTAAGCTTCTTTGTCATAAGAATTTGAGAAAATCTGTATTGAAAGCAACTTCACATACGTGTTTAATTGTTTCAGCTCTGCCCACACTGTAGCTGAACATGTTGCCCTAGTTGCAACTTACTGTCACACCACACTACTCATGTGGGAAGGTTTGGGGGAGGGTGCAGCTCTTGCAGAATGTATGCACAAGGATCTGGGTTCAGTACAGAGCAGAAGGGGAAAGGAAAAAGGGGTAAAGAAGATGGGCTCAGACCCCCTTAATTGAGCTGAGGCTGTAGTTCAGTAAGATGTATGTACATATTACTTAGTATGTACAAGGTTCTGAACGCAAGCCCTGGCACTACAAGGAAATAAAACAAATCCATCTTTATGTGGTCTATAATTAGACATGTGTTTCAAAAAACCTAAGGAAACTAGTTTCTTGTGCTGTAATCTATTCAGCAGTCACACTTTTGTTCCATAGTAAAGTGTTGTCATTCACTTTAACATAAGCCAGGATAGGTTTGGCAGACTTCCACTTTCTACTCTCATCTTTGCCATAAGAACAGTGTGAAAGAAATATATGGTGACCACCCTGGCTAACGCCTTTAATCCCAGCACTCGGGAGGCAGAGGCAGGTGGATCTCTGTGAGTTTGAGTCTAGCCTGGTCTACAGAGGGGTTTCCAGGACAGCCCCCAAAAAAAAAAAGAAAAACCCTGTCTCAAAAAAACAAACAAAAAAAAAAAAAAAAAACAAAAACAAATGTGTGGTGAACAGAGTTCTCCATTTAGCACATGGTTAAATTTAAAAGAGTGCACAATAATTATTTTCTTTTCCCTAGATTTTCAAGGCAAAACATAATGTTTCCTGTTCAAGGACAGTTGTGGGACACTCATTTATAAAGTAGATGCAGATCCAAGGAACAAAGGACAGCTAATTTCTTTTGGTCATTGGTGCCAGTGGGGAAAAATACAGTAGCATCCCAGGCAACTGTCTGACATAGTGATTATAAAATCTATGAGGTACAACAGCAGAGTCAGTCCGAACTGGTGGATTACAGTGTACGTACGTACGTACGTACGTATGTATGTATGTATATATGTATGTATGAAATATGTTTGAGGAATAGAGGCTGAAAAGTGTTTTCATGGAGCATCTAAAGTCCAAGCTATTCAGCACTCTAGTTTGTCCTTTAATACCTGTTAAAAGCTCCAACTGTTTATTTCTTCCTTTGCTAAGACATAATATGTTTAATCCCATTGAGTAGCAAGAAGAAATAAAATAAAGTATATGTCAATTTGAAAACTGTTTTCTTCTCCTTAAGCAAATTCAGTATATGTATAAGTTGTTCAAAATTATATTAATATGTATCATCCACTATGAACACAGTAGCAAAAGCACTAAAAACCCCAGTCAAAACCAGAGTGCACAGATCTGGTAGACCAGAGTGCAGTTCCGTGATTAGATGTTATTTTAAGAAGACTATCCATAGACTGCATTTTTAACAGGTTCAACCAGAGAGAATAATTTGCATATATAGATCTTATAAAATCCTTTAATCTACTCATCTTTTGTAAGTTTCCTTTCCTCTTTGATATGGTCATGATAAGCAGAAAGCTAACCTCCAAATTAAATAACATTAGTGTCAGATGTCAAATAGACATTAACAGTCATTTAATTTTTCATGTAATTAATAATTAATTAATAATTATAATTAAATAATAATTAATTAATAATTAATAAATAAATTAATAATGATTAAGTTTTTCATGTAATGAATAAACTCAAAGGAAAACTTTTGAGAATTATTTTAATAAAAATATTTCACATTATTGTAAATACCAATTAAATTCAATTTTAGAAAACAACTCTAGAAATAATCATTTGTTTTACAATGATATGCATTTACAGTACCTGGTAAAGAAACAAAAACATGGTGGGTCTGTTATGCTAAATCTTTCCGCCAAAAGCCGCCTCAGCCCCACTGCCACGTGTGAGCTTTATGCCAGCTGTCCACCCAAGTTAGGCCCAAATGAATACACAGAAACTTGTATTAGATTCAAAGCTGCTTGGCCAATGACTAGGACTTCTCATCTACTAGCTCAGTCTTAATTGTCATAAATCTATATATGTTATAAGACTTATCTTATCAGACGCCTTATTGGCGGCCCTCCTTGCCGGTGGCTCACATCCTGCCACTGGAAGAAGCGAACGGAAAAAGAGGGACCCTTCCTGTTTCTCCTTCGCTTAAATATGAGTCTCCTTGCTATGTCATTTCCTGTCTGGATCATCACTTCTCTACTACATTTCCCAGAATCCTCTTTGACTCCTAGACCTGCCTAACTTGCTGTTTCATTGGCCAAACAGTATTTCATTTAACAGTCAATAAGATAAACATACACAGTACATTCCCCATCATGGGTCTGAGGATGTAGTTCAGTTGGTACAGTGCATGCCTAGCATGCACATAGTCCTGGGTTTGGTGACATAGTGCTGGTATGGTGACAAACACCTGTAATTTCAGCTCTCAGGAGATGAAGGCAAGACAATCAAAGCTTCCAGGTCACCAGATCATGACACATCCACACAAATGGCTAACTGTGAGTCAAGTGGAAACAAACCCTGTTAATTCCAAGATCTGTGTGCTGTCAGCATAAAGGGAGCTATCAGAAAATGATGGGATGTCTGATCTAGCTGATAACCCCAAAATACCAGTGGGGTATCTGAAAGCTTGGCAGCCTGGTCTGATTACAGCAGTGACTCCAGAGTGCATGGTATACTCCAGTTACAGGTGAGTTGAAGGCCCCCCTGAGACTGGAAGGAGCTCATTGTGGCCCCTATAATCACTCCTAGGAGCTAATAGGTCAAAGCTTCCTGACCTGCCCTACACTGAAGAATAGAATCCAGCTTGAGCAGTGTGGCACAGTAGACACAAGGACAGCCCAGATAAATGTTTAGGACATGAACAGAACCAGGAAATCTCTAGTTTAAAACTTTTATGTTTTTAAGTGTCTTCCAAAAGAAAAGAAAACATATTTTAGGAGGAGGATCCTAAGTTTTACAATCTAAATTCTAAATTCTAGCTCCATTCTAAAAGATTAGGGAAATTATACAAAAATAAGATCTGAGATGTAAAAGCTAAGAGAATAAGGAGAATTGACTGCCACTACAGACAGTGATATCCTGCCAGACAGGTTATGCTATGAAATGTGAGAATGTTAATCTTTCAAAACTAAAAAAAAGTCAGTTTGTTTGTGGTGTGTGTGTGTGTGTGTGTGTGTGTGTGTGTGTGTGTGTGTGTGTGTGTGTTGGTGTGTGTGTGTGTGTGTGTGTGTGTGTATGTATACATGCTTGTGTGTGGCTCCTGGGGCGTCTGAATTTAGGTCATCATGTCTGTGTGGCAGACACTTTAGCCAACTGATCTATCTCTCTAGCCTAACTAAAACCAAAAATTTTAAAAGGTGGAATACATGAAAGAATAATGTAAATTCAAATTAGAAAAATCTCAGAAATGAGGTTATCAAACCCAGGGAATATTAGAAAGAAAAGAAAAATATTTCAGAATTGAAGCAAAGCATAAAGAACTAAAGCAAATCAATACAAGGTGTAGTTTCTTAGAAATAGAAGCCAAAAAAGCAGCAAGAACTTAAGATCAGAAAGAAAGGGAAGAAGAACTGGGCTGTAACTCAATGGTGGAGTACTTGACTTGTGTGTCTGTCTGTCTGTCTGTCTGTCTGTCTGTCTGTCTGTCTGTCTTTCTGTCTGTAGATTCAATCCCAGCACTAACCCCTCCAAAAAGAAAAAGAACAACAGAGTGAAGGTAGTCAGACAAACAGAATAAAGGCCAAGAGGACCCAGGTTGCATATGACAGGAATCATAGAGAAGACCAACCCAAGCAAGCAGAATAAATATGAAAATATAATAAATTAAAACTTTTTACTTGGAGTAAAATCTACAACTAGAGCCAGGTGTGGTCTCACATGCCTTTAGTCCCAGCACTTGGGAGGCAGAGGCAGGTAGATCTCTGTGAGTTTCAAGCCACCCTGGTCTACAGAGCAAGTTCTAGCACAGCCAGGACTATATAGAAAAAACAAAAGAAAAGAAAGACTCCTCCCTCATTTCTCTCCCTTTTCCCTTCCCTTCCGTACCTTAGCAATATATTTCTTCCTCATTCACTAGACTAAGTATAAATTGTTACTTTCACACGCCTTGCTGTCTATTTTCTCTTCCGCCTTCAGTTTAAATACTAACTATATTACCAAGGATAATGTCTTTGAAGCCTCAAGCTAAAGTAAAAGGAACTTGTTGCCACAGTGGTCCCAATTACAATTTACAGTTTATGAGATAGGTACAAGATCTTTTCTGCTAGACTAACCTTCCAGGTGGTCAGGGAGCGTGATGTGCTTGTGTTATTCACAGTACATTAGCAGAGTGTCTTATGCATTGTAAGTACTTGGGACAAATGAATTGATTAAATAAATTTATAAAAGAAAGGAAGCCGGGCGTTGGTGGTGCACACCTTTAATCCCAGCACTCAGGAGGCAGAGGCTGACGGATCTCTGTGAGTTTGAGGCCAGCCTGGTCTACAAAGCTATACAGGGAAACCCTGTCTCAAAAAAATCCAAAAAGAAAAAAAGAAAAGAAAGGAAGGAAGGAAGGAAGGAAGGAAGGAAGGAAGGAAGGAAGGAAGGAAGCTCACATTTACTGTCACGTAGGCTTGTCATTTAGGTGAAAATGCCCCTTCCCCACTTCGATATTGCTATTCTTACAAATATTGAAAGGTTGAGTAGGTGATGTAACTTACCCAGGAACAGGCAACTACTGTCAGTAATAGGTTAATTCTGTTTTCATTTAGTACAGATTTAAGAAGACATGTAAAATGATACTGTAATATTTTACTTTCTTAAGTAAATATCTTTGTCATCTTATTTCTACCATCTTTTCTTTTTTGCAATCATTGAGATCAAAGGTTGATTTTTTTCTCTACTTGGGCTCTTGTAAATATTAAAAAATTCCAGTTTATTGAAGTCTGTTAGAATGAACTTTGCTTATTATCTAAGACTTGAGGTATATATAGGTCAGTGTTTGCAGATATGAAATCACCATCAATAGGTGGACTTCTTACAGTGATTAATGTGACTTTTTTGTTGTCAGCATGTTATCGGGTGGTTCAGATGGTGTGATTGTACTCTATGACCTTGAGAACTCCAGCAGACAACCCTATTACACATGTAAAGCAGTGTGTTCCGTTGGCAGGTGTGTATCTGAAAGTATAACTCATGAATTTGTAAATAGTTCAATATTGTTTGCATCAAATGTAAAACATGAAAATAACAGCCATGTGCATGGTGGAAACACATTTTTCAATTGACAGTGATAGCCCTTGATGCTTTCTTGAAAACAATTAAAATTCAATAGATTCTTTTGTCATGTGATTTCCTCTACTTTTTGTATCAGCTTTCAAATGAAATTTTAAAAAGATTTTTGTGTCTTTTTTGTTCTGTACCTACAGAGCATACCTCAGTAGCTATTGTTTTTAATACCACTTAGTATAATAAGGTTCATTTATGAATCTTTCAGCTAATTATAAATGCAAACTAAGTTTTCAACTCATGTTAATGGGGAATACATTAAAAACAGGATGTAATAAATGTACAGTCAGTCCTCTTGACATATGTGCACACATGCGTGCACACACACACACAAACACACACATGCACCCCTCTTTCTTATCTGTTTACTCACTCAAAACTGCTCAACTTGAACCAGGCAGTGGTTATGCACACCTTTAATCCCAGCACTCAGGAGGCAGAGGCAGAGGCAGACAGATCTCTGAGTTCGTGTCCAGCCTGGTCTACAGAGCTAGTTCCAGACAGCCAGGGCTGCAC